TACATAAAGGAAGCCGATTAAAGCAGATCAAGCAAAATGTCGGACTCATCGGACGATGATTTGGTTTTGTTAGAAAATGTTTATTTAAAAATGCGAAAAACAGCTATACATCCTATAAATAGAGAAAGGAAACGTTTCGGAGAATACCATAATTTATTTGTAAAAAAAATTAAATTTGATGAACAAAGATTTTATACATATACAAGAATGATTCAAGAAACATTTTATTACATTTTGGATTTAGTGAAAAACCGTTTGATGAAAAATTAGGGCAATTGGCATAAACAACCAATCCTTCCAGAAGAAAGACTTGTTGTCACCATTCGATAAGTACGAAACAAATAATTTTAGCGCTTAGTTAATAAAAGATAAAGTTATTAGATTTATAAAAAGATTATAACTTAGATTGATTTAATCTAAGGAAAATAATTCAAATACAAATTATTTATTATTCGGACCAGCGCGAGTCGGCGCTTATCGGCGCTTATCGGCGCCGGTCCATAGAAAAAGGATCAGCGTCAATAGGCGCCGATAAGCGCCGATCGGCGCTGATCGGCGCCGATCGGCTTTCGGCTTTCTTTCTGTATACGGCCTAGGTCAGGCACGCGGCGCGGCGGCGCACGCGCAAAAACAAAAAATAAAACGCACATAAGCTGTTACTTACTTCGATATTATTTTTCAATGGGTCACCTAGAGACATCACTAGCTGTTTTTGTATAAAAGAAAAAATAATATTCATCACACATGCTTAATTTTTGTCGCAATTCTGCATACTAAAAAATTATAACTCGATCATTTGTTCCCGTAATTTTGTCTGATGTTTCAGGCCCCTTAGCATTCATTTTCACGCTCAACTGTCAAATTACTATAAAGTTAGACGCGATAAAAAACGTGATATAGTTTAAATTATTTATTCGTTTATTTAATATAGGTGGAAGTACCGTGCTTACTTTTAAACTATAATATATGTTGTTGAATCGTATTTATGTGCATAATCATTACTTAGATTTAAGTGAAAATTATCTTCTCATAAAATAAGTAGGTAGATAAAATATTATTAACTCACATGCATAGTTACGAGTTATCTTATACGAGATTTCACCATTATTCTTTTTTTTATTGCGAATATGCATTACTATAATAATTTATTACTGAAGAACTGTGAAATTAGATTAATTCTCGACCGGAGCCACTGAAAATTATAAAAACGCAATGTTTTAGATTTCAAACAAATCACATAATACTCGTATATTTCTGTCTCTTAGGTTTTTACGCACACCACTCATTAAATAAAACATATTATATATTTCGTTTATTATATGTCACAACAGGGAGCTATTTTTACTATGCACTCAATACTGCGTTTCTTTGATTGTAATGTAGCATGTATTTTTTACTTGATGTAATTTTTAGAAATGCTTTTTTTTTTCTTAAAAACTACTATCACAAAGCAAACACGTAAAGACACTGACGTGCTTTGAGTACCTATCCTTCTTACGTTACTACATCTCAAGGAGACCTAGAGTCAGGTTCTAGTAGGCGGACCGTTCCTGTCGAATGAATCGACTTAATCTTAATTGCTTTTACCATTGTTTCTATTGTTTCAATCGATGCGCTACCGGTTATCGATTCATGGGAATAGCAAAATAATGAAGTTAGTAGGTAAAATGTGTTTGTATTGAAAATTTAAAGTAAAAATACGTAGACAACGTATAACGACGTACTGGGTTCGCAATAGCACATTTTCGAAAAGGTTTTCCTCTTCACAGGACCTATAAAACGGTTTCTATGTGCCGTGAAAAGCCTGATAGGCTAGGGCCAGATGTTTAAGAGCAATTCAATTTAAAACACGATGCACACTCATACCAAAAGAAGGAGAATGAATGAAAAAAAAAGGAAAATAAATTACGGGCGATGTGGAGCACCCGCAAAAACTTTACTTTTGAGTTTACACCATTTTCACATACTTAACTTAAAAAAATTCTGCAAAAATCAAAATAACCAACTTTCGTTTTGGATATTGTTATTTTTTTATATTGTTGTTTTTAGTAGCTCCCTTTCCGTGAAAACTTTTATAGTAATACATTTTTCGAATACATATATAACACTGTCAAGGGAAGATATTAAACCAAAGCTTATTCCTAAAAGCTACAAGCGAACAGGGATCTATTTTAAATGCATTCAGCAAATTGCGTCTGCGTAAGATTTGCATTGAATTTCCACAAGGCGTCATAAACTTCTCGGCTGATACTGAAATTGATTTATCATACTTACTTATAACCTGCGCAGACGAGGGACAAAAGTCCGCAGTATTTTATATCTGCCGAAATAGTTCGCTTACAACGGCATCGAGTAATAATAATAGTAGTAATCGCACACCAGGTATTAAAAATCCCGCGTACAGAAAGTCCCCCGAACAACCCAGGGCACTGAGGGACTGGACATAGGGTTGCCACCCGTACTTTATTATTAAGTATTCTACGTTGTTTCAGGTAATTGTACTCTATAATTTATGTCAACAATAAAGTACGCGAAAATACTTTATTTAATGTGATTAGATTACTTGGGGATTAATTTTACATTAAACATACAAAAAGAGGATAGGAAGATTTTTTGCGTAAAACGGAATAACAGTATCATATATATTATAACATAATATGTCACACTTAGCTCATTCCTGCAACATTGTCGTGGCTGTATGGCTTAGTACAATGGCTTTTCCCATTACGGATAAGAATTACAGATTTTTAGTAGCCACAAATTATTCATTAAAAGTTGCTATACGCAGAGTAAAAATATATTTTTAAGCTTACTAATAAAGTGAAATAAAAAGTACTTTATTTTGGACATAATGTACTTTTTTTTCTACCTTTAATCGTACTTTATTTGGACATAAAAAAGGTGGCAACTGTAACTGGACAGAAAATATTACGCGGGCGGGAGTCTCCTAAAAAAGTAGGACTCAATTGTAACTAGTCGCAGCACTTTGGTCCGCATTGCGCGCTTGATCCGATTTACAGAAAAGGACCCGGTATTCTTTTTTTAAATGTCTTCTCTATTTTCTTAAACTTCCTGTTAATTACAACACAACGTACTAATCTAAGAACATTTATTGCAAAGCGTGCGCTATTCTAAATTTTCTGGGGACAAATGTTCGCACAGCGTGTGCGTTGGGACCGTGACAAGTCCTTCGTCTTTCGTCTGCGCAGGACTAGGTATTAGATGGTCGCGTTACCTGTGAGTAGTGTTGCCAGGGCGGATTTGTTTTAAATCGGTAAATGATTTCAAAAAAATCGGGACTTAAGGCTGCAGATCGAGACAGTTAATAAAAAACAAGGCTTTTTTAAGTCTGGATTTAATTTATTGCGTTTTAAACTACTCGGGGGGAAAATAATATTATATTAATTTCCAAATTTAATTTTTTGTTTAATCGGGACATTTGGCGTTCAAATCAGGGCACCTGGCAACACTGCCTGTGAGCCATTCGGTGGTGAGACATTCATTATAATCGACATTCATTAAACTACCTACTTACTGCCTGTGTCATAATAAATCAACATACAAAAAGTTAACTGTAAACATAGCTTTCAAGTTATTAACATTCTCGGGTAAACAAATAACGAACAAAGAGTAATATCGGTTTGTGTATCGGGCAACTATCGCGATGCAATTAAGGGCATACGGTGTTTTATTGTCATAATGAGTAACCAGTTTTTATGAATAAAAACGTGGGCTCGTCTCACAAGTGCGGGTAATGGCTAGTGGGAACAGTCCAAAGATTAAACTATAGCATGGCATAGTCCACAAAAAATTAACTAGTCCCGTTTCGTGGGAACCAAATGGGATGATTTTAGTATAGTTAATCGATAATACTGGTTCAAGTTTGAGTTCTCATCTCCATTGGGGGTCTTAATAAGGTTTGTGTTCATTAAAATTGCGTGTCCGCGACTGTCGCATGGAATATTTCTCTCTATAGGTTTAATTACGATGATGCAATTTGTGTTCTCAATGATAGAGTTGACATCAAAGATTATGACTTAGAAAAATACTATGTATAATAAAAGTTGATGGTGGTGGTTAACTATTTTTGGTATAGTAACACCGAGGTAAAGACGCTCGTTGTTTAGTGAACGGTTAAATACTCTTATTTTCATTGACCACAGAAAAAAATTAACGGTTCTTTTCGGTCATTGGTGCCACTACCCTATTAATACTTTATTTATGTATAAAATAAGCATAAAAAGCAACATTATTGATAAAATGTCTTTAAGGAAATAATAGTTTTCTACTAAAACGTTCTAGTTTCTATAAGAACTAAAGAAACTGTAATAATCTAAAGTTTCATAAGGCTCGGGTTATCTTAGGAACCGTTTTGTTCGGCCTTTATAGGGACTGAAGCCCGTAACAAGAATTTAAAATAAAAATTAATAAATAATATAAATATCTACTATTGACAAACCACAAATCTATGTAAATATGTATTAAAAAACAAACACTATTATAAATAGTTTTTCTGAGGAATTACTAAAAATGGTTACCATGAAGAAACAAATCGTAAGACACTTGCAAAGTTGCAACGTTACTGACTAACTGTTAACCACTGCAACAATGGCGGCTCCCTTCCTTTGATATAAACTTGCAGTTTCCGATCATGTGGCGAAATTGAAAGTAATTGGAACAAATAAATAATGAAATTGGGCCATCCTAGGAACCGGGCGATCTTGGGTCTAAGTACCTTTCATACCTATAACGATTCATAGATAAATACTATATTTTATTTCATTCATAAAAAAAATATAAAGCAGCCGTGACTCAGGTAAAAATGCTCGTATTCATCATACCAACATTTACCCCACCTGGATTCGATCCGGCGAGTCCAAGACCTCTGAGCAGGCGACACTTTGAAAACCTGCGTACATACGATTTCACGGAGGTCGTAAAAATAAAATAATCGCGTGGTCGAGATAAAGTTGAATCTTATTTATAGTAAAAACACTGACCTTTGTTTCTAGTTTTTCCGTTTCGTTCTTGTAATATGTTCGCTCTCCTTCCACCTTATCCAACTTGGTTCGCAATGTCTCCAGTTCCTCCTGCAAAGAATAAATAAAATAAAAATCTATACACTCAGCATAATGCTTATAATTTTATTATACTATTCATAATGCCGGCAGTTTACGAGGTTTTTTGTATTTGCTATTTGACATTAGGACAGCACGTTCACGTTATCATATACATAAGGGAATGAACTGAAGATACTGTTGGTAATTTTCACATCATCACATCACCAGCTTATTGATGACCTCACTGCTGGGGCACAGGTCTTCCCTATGGATGGAATAGGGTCATGATATGACCCACCTCGCGGGCCCAGTGCGTATTGGTGGGTGCTAACAACTGAAGATGAAGCCGGGACCAACGGCTTAATGTGATTTCCAAAGTACGGAGGACCTCGAGATAGTAAATTTTTGGTCACCAATCCAATGAGCGGCCATTACGAAAGTTGCTTAACTTCAACGATCGCAACCGAACACGCTAACCACTTGCGCCATCGAGCTCATCAGGTAAATGTTTAAAAATAGCAAATACGAAACTCCATGTGAAGTGCCAGGATGAGACTATACAAAAACACGGTAAGACAAAATAATTATATCTGTCTACAGACTTATGTGATATCTTCCAAAAATAAAGAGGTTTTTTAAACGCGTTTGACTTATTTGGAGCAAATTATTCTAACTTCGACTTTTGACAATTTATTTGTAACTAGTGGCTGCTAGTGACTTCATCTGCGTGGAAAAAATACACGATTTCCCATACAACTTCAGCTTCCACCCCCATGATTTGTCACCATTGATCAAATGATACTGTCACCATTATTTGTTGGAGAAGGCACAGAAAGCATAAGGGTTTACTTCCATTATTAATTCCGTGTTAAATACAAAACACTTTACCTTGCCAAAATATATAAGCGAAAAGAATACAGAGTCAACAATTTGAGTTGTATAATTAATTAAGCTGATGTTACTTACTACATTCTGTAGTCAATCATTTATGTTACATAAGTCACGTATCAAGTTTTCGCTCAATCGAATCATTGGTAACGAGCTATACGTTGCATTGCGGAATTACAGAGTTAGCCATAAAAACGGTTATTATCGTGAAAGCACGAATATTGGATGAAGTGTGGTCGAGATAGTTGGCGAAGCGCGAACGTAGATCTAATACAGGTTTTCCACTGAGATATGCTGTAATTTGAAGTTACGAATGCAAGATTTTTTTCTTATTATCCGAAGTCGAAATACTTCGCCATACACCTCATCTGATGTTTAGAGATGTGCCTGCCTTTAGCCTAAGTGGAAAAAGCGGCATAAGGCGCGGCGCCGGCGTGCCTAAATCTTATACGGGACAGATATGATGAAATTAGTTCTCTAAGCCATTTCGGAAATAATTTTAACAAATTACGATTAACAGATGACATTCAACCAGAATTTATCAATTCATTCAGACGTTTTACAATTCAGTGAAAAGTTTTTTGCAAGAGCTTAGTGAAACCATGAAAGTTAGTTTCAGATCATGACAATCCTACTCTACCCACTGCAAGACAAAATCCACTCATGTTTTATTATTTAGCTGTAGTCTCCACAACAAATTATAGGACGGTGTCCACTTCTCCGGACTAGCTGTTTAATTCGGACCCGTCTTAAATATTTAATCAGTAGCATTGCGGAGCTGCATGTAACCTGCACGTAATGAGGCTAATGACGTAATAATATTGGTGGCTTTTTACACGCTTAGCTGATCGCAGAGCTCTGGTAGAACCGCAGCCTTAAGCGAGATCATAGAGGAAAGCAACTATCGCATAGTTTTTAATCAATTGTAGTACGTGTTGTCGAAAGTTCTGAAAACGTAATAGATAGTATATATATATATTTATATATATTTTCCAACACTCACACCAATTAGCCTAGCCCCAAAGTAAGCACTGTAAGGCTTGTGTTATGGGATACTAGGGTAACGGATAGAATACATACACAGTACATATATAAGTATATTTATATAGAAATACATATTAAACATCCATGACTGGAGTACAAATGCTCGTATTCATCACACAAACATCTGCACCCACCAGGATTCGAACCCGGGACCTCTCGAGTCGGCGAAACCATGAAACCCGGCGTACAAACCACTCGACCACGGAGGTCGTCAATGTGCAATGTATGTGGGGTTGCAGATTTTTCAGTGACAGTATTGACAGAGAAAAAATGAGAGCTGTCACGGGACGTCTAGCAGATGTGAAACATGGACATTATTTTGTAAAGTTATATCCAGAAAAGAACAGATTGCGATAGGAACTAAATATGGCATGATGATAAAATAAAATATTACGATGTTTTTCCAGAAAATGATGACTGTTTATTTAATAAACATTTATTTTCATTAAATGCAAAAATCGAATTAGATTGCGCATGACGCGTCGCCACATCGTACACACTACTGCATATAGACTGTATTTATATACCATCATATAGCGTGGCGACCAAGTGGCGACGCGTCATGCCAGAAATCGGTTTTAGGTGCACCTATAGATGTTTCACATCAAAAACAAACACAACGTAACTAACGCTAATGATTAGAATAGAAAGCAGTTTGTATTGAACTTGATATCAGCCCATATTGCTTGGGCACAGACCTTCCCTATATGGATGGGATGGCATACTTGCTATGTTTTAATTACAGTTTTTTTATACAGCAAAGACGTTACATATAATAGCTTTCTTATGTTAAAAGGGTGAAAAACATGCGTATGGGCCGCCTAATGCGCACGCTTAAAGGAATACTGACCTATTAGTACTTAAGACATACAGACAAAAAGTTGTCCTACAGCCATCTATATTATTCTATTCACAAAGCTTCATAAATATCGCTACATTTTTCTGATATAAAGTCTTGTTTCATCATTAAATAACTTTGATATAGACGAAGAATTAAAAGAGTGTTAAGTAATGAAAAAACGACAACTAATAATATTTTCATAATACTCCATAACTTCCGTAGCTACTATGGAAAAATAAACATGAAGATGATCGATTACCAACGGGCGTGAAATCGTTCGCCGCGTGCAAACTGTGCGTAATAATTATACAGTTTTAGTAACAGCCCAATCAGCGGTTACTGCATTGTTATAAGGCTGCGTTCACATAAGGCTTTTATGCGACGCGTGCGTGCAAAACCAAATCGTTTAATAAGATTCCCTATCATAGGGCATTTAACAAGTTTTAGAAAATGATCTCAAGTTATTTACTAATGTTTATGAAGTCCATAAAAACCCGATATTTTGAATTCTGTTGTGTAATTCAGTAAAAAAAACTAAATAAAATGTTCAATTTTAAAGTTGCCGCGAAAACGTTTCTCTGGACATTATGGAGTCTCACTAGTGTGTGCCATCACACGACTGTCATTAAAACGTCAAACGATACAATGTAATGTCACTTTGGCCGGAAGTATACAAGCGTGTGACGTCATTTTACGTAATTTTTCGTGCGTGTGGCCAATCCCAGGCATTCTCGGTCACGTGACCATGGAGCAAAAAAATCATTTCTATCTAATGATTTCATAGAAAAGTTATTACTAATTTGTTCTTTCAGAATAGTAAAAACGCTGCTAATATTCATATTAAATACAGGTGCCAACAATTGGTACATTACTTTTCATACTATCAAATAGCCTATTGCATTATCATCTGCAAATCTGTACACAGTATCGTATATATAATAGTAGCTTATCTACCATAATACATATTTTTGGGGCGCTTGCATGCAGTTAATATGATATTTAGCCGTTTATACGTATTATCTAAGGCTGCAACACAACACACTGCACTAAAGTATTTCTAGTAAATGTGAAAAACGCTTCGCTATTGGCGCGTCTTGATAGAATAGTCTGTTTTTGGCTTAAAAATATGTAATTGCAGCCTATCGATCGTTAGCCACAGTTGAAATAACGCGTAATGCAAGCGAAGCAGATTAACCAGACAAGTTTCTCATACTGTAATCTAACGTTACGTTGATAGCCAATCAGCCGATCAGTGTTGTGATTAGAGTTTTACATGCAAACCTCAAAAAAAAAATTGCAAAATTTTACGCAAACTGCAAGTTTGATATTTTGTATTATCATTAGGAAATGTAAAATTTATCCAAAGAGACTTTTTGCTTTAGTCACTAATAAATTAAATTGGTTATTATTAACTAAATAATATAAGCATGAAAATATTCAAAAACTTCAAAAAGTTCATATTGCTTAGACTATACTCTTTTGATGAATATATTTAACTCATGTCGAGTGACGACATTCATTTTTCAAGCACAAACGTTATGGGTTTAAAAAAAACAAACTATCCGAATTCAAACAATATATTTAAGCAAGCTTTGAGCTAATTTTTGACCTTGAGAACAGCCCGGCGAATCAAACTGTTAATATCGACTAAGCAAAGTCCGACGCATTTTCCTCTCAGCACATTCGATTTGTCATTCATACCACATTGCAACTTAGAAAGTATTCGTAAACAACAAAACACATACACAGTTAATATCGAACGCACGCCGCACGCACATCACCACAAAACATCATCTCTCGGTGCATGGTATGCGTTTTTGTTCATATCGTCTCATCACGCATCTTGAGTGCGTCTTCCGCGTCGAAATGACACGTCCGTGTTAATTAATCCAGAGCTACGTGATCACATTATTGTACATACAACCAAACGATAAAGAGTATTTTTTTAAACTCTTTTTTTTGGATAACTTAGAGCTGTATAAATTTTAATAAACTGTACATTTTAATACTTAATAAAGCCAATTACAAGTTTTTACATATATACATTAAACATTTTTTTTATTTTTTTTAAAGGAGGACAATATAATTTAGTGTTCAAAATTCAAACATAATATGTCATATTTTTTAAATGTGGTGTGGTATACAAGTATTAGAAAGGTTCAAATCCGTGCTTTGGCACATTGAATTGAAAAACCCGGGTGCTCTGTTAATGAATGAATTGGTTTAATAATAATTTGTTCTTGAGTTTTGTATTTAC